GTCTCTGCCCATTTGTTACCTGGTATGGACGGTCCCTGTTCTTCCTGCCTCGTGGGGCTCTTTGAGAGCGAAATAGAAAGAGCAGTGGCAAGCCCTCAGAAAACAGGCACAAACACTGCATCTTTGAAGGCTGGCTAAGGGAGTGCAAGGAGAGGAGGGGGTTCTGACTTCCTCTAATAACCAGGAGCCACTCAAAACTCACACTGCACACACTGTCCTGGGTTTGTGATTGTCACCTGCTAAGCAGATTTTTGCTTTCTCAGCTGTTCTGCTTCTAGGGATCTAGTTCCATGGTCTGTTGGGCAAGACGACACTGGTTCTGGATTGGAAGGAAGGGCTTTGCCTAATCTTTGCGGCGTTCTTACCACCAGTAGTGACCCCTGCTTGGGGGCACTAAAGGCTACTGGGATTTCCTTACTGAGCTCAGTCCCCCAGCCTTATCACCTGCCATACCCCATGGGCATTTCGAAAGTAATGCATCCAAAATGGCGCTTTTGACTTCTGTCCTTAACTGGAGTTTCAGAGGCGTGACTGGCCTTGCTTGCTTGTGACAGAGAGTGTGAAACTTCCCAGCTCACAATGGGCTGTTTACCTGAGTAGGCAGAATCCCTCCAAATGGGATATTGTACCATGGAGGAGTCCCTTTACCTTTCTGGACAAATGGACTCTTAGCTCTTCATGTCATATTTCCTCATTATTCAGAAAGTATGCAGCCATGCTTTTGGGATTTCATTGTGCAACTCTTATTTTAGCAGTGAATTGTTGAGCCATGGGAGATTTTAAGCTTGTCTATGCAAGTTCCAGGGCAAATCATTGACTACTTGGTACAGTAGAAAGAGTCAGGCAGCCTGACTATTTGGGATGCGTCTGCCAATAACCTGCTAGTAGCTTGGGGCAGAGAACGTAAGCTCTTCGCCCCTTAGTCTCCCTATCAGTAGAATAAGTGGGGACCACCCAGGCTCTGAAAGATAGAGCAGTTGTGTAAAAATTAGCAACAGAGCCAACTGGAAGTAAGAGTGTGGAATTACCGTCATGGCCATATTGCAACTGACTCAGCATATTTCAAAAATGTAAAATTGAGCCAATGAACATACATTTGGTATTAACCAAACTGCTGGAGGCACTTATATAAAACAAACCTCTTTATTAATCTTTAAAAAGAGAGAGATTCTTTTGTCGACACTGTTGGGATGCAATGAACGCGCTTGCTTTGTCTTTGGATCCCATCAGTTTTCTAATAAGAAAAGCCCATTCCTTCACAAGGGGGAGGTTCTGATACGTGTCTGCCTGGGCTGATATGTGATGGAAAGGCAAGGAAACGTGGTAGAGGCTCTGCCCATCTCTGGCGGTTAACAAAGGTCACCTCCGGGCAAGGAGGACTTCAGAGTGTAATACATATTTCCAAAGGGAAATGCTTGCAAAATGCAAATGCTGATCCCAATTCTGCCCTTTGCGACTGGTGCCGGCCGCTGCACTGGCACCTTTGTTGAGAACAGGGAAAAGCCAAGAAGTGAAATGATATTTCCCTCCCCTCATCATTACTCAGCATGGCTTACTTGCTTAGCTATAAAGAATTCAAGTGTCAAGAGAAACTGCAGTGCAGTTTTCTTATCCAAAAATGCATTCTCCCTTCTGGCCAAGAGGCCCACTGTGCTCCAATCTTGTTTCTAAAGAGGATGGCCTCATGGACCGCTTTCTTCACTCTAGCATTTCTGGAACTTGCTTATCCATACTGTCTGAATTTTAAAGGGAAATAGTTCTTAAACTATAGTATGCATAGGGATCATCTGAGGAGGGTGTCTGGGTGGCTCTGTTGGTTAAGCCTCTGCCTTTGGCTCAGGTCACGATCCCGGGGTCCTGGGATCGAGCCCCATGTGGGGAATCCCTGCTCAGTGGGGAGTCTGCTTCTGCTGCTCTCTCTGCCCCTCCCTCTGCTCTGCACCCACCCCCGCTCTGCACTCACTCTCTCTCAAATAAATAAAATCTTTAAAAAAAAAATCATTTGGGGAGCTTACGAAAATGATAGAACCCTGATTCCCACCCCAGGTTCAGTGGGGCTGAGGAATCGGCATTTTTCATCTGTGGCACAGGGGTTCGGATTTGGGGCTCTGCAGAACTGCTTTGGGGAGTACCACTGGGTGCCAGGCCACCGGCGATACTTCATGACACACTCTGTTCCCTTTGCCAGTCAAGTCCTAGCTGTTGCTTTTAGAACTACACTGGAGCTGGGCTCAGTCAACTGTTGCCTGACTCGTAACAGTCTGTGACTCAGACCAACCGCGTGCGAGAAGCGTAAGTTTGGGAGTCAGAAGGGGAGATCTTCAAGCTCCCACTTACCATTACTTGGGTAGGTTGCTCAAGAAATTTTTCTATTTACTTATCTGTCAAATGGGAACAATATAACCCACGCCCCTGAGAGGGGGAAGTGGTGGTGAGGAGAGGATAGAATGACTTACCGGTAAGCCCTTAGCACCATGCCTGGCATTTAATAGGTAGAGGCTCAATAAATATCACTTTCCTCCAGTCTCATAGGAAGCAGGAATTCACTTCAAAAAAACCAAAACAAAACAAAAAAGCAAAAAACAACTCGTATTCTCCTTTAGCACTTGAAGCAGATACTGTTAAGATAAACTTTTTTTTCTAAAGATTTATGTACTGGGGCACTTGGATGGCTCAGATGGTTAAGCATCTGCCTTCAGCTGGGGTCAGGATCCCAAGGTCCTGGGTGCAGTCCCCGCCCTGCTTCTCCCTCTCCCCTTGCTACTCTCCCTGCTTGTGCTCTTTGGCTCTCTCTCTCAAATAAATAAATAAAATCCTTTTTTAAAAGATCTTTTAAGAGATCTTTTAAGAGATCTTTTTTTTTTTTTTTAAAGATTTTATTTATTTATTTGACAGAGATCACAAGTAGACAGAGAGGCAGGCAGAGAGAGAGAGAGAGGGAAGCAGGCTCCCTGCTGAGCAGAGAGCCTGACGCGGGACTCGATCCCAGGACCCTGAGATCATGACCCGAGCCGAAGGCAGCGGCCTAACCCACTGAGCCACCCAGGCGCCCCAAGAGATCTTTTTAAAAAGGGTTTTATTTATTTGAGAGAGAGAGAGTGAGAGAGCACATGCACATGGGGTGGGGGGCAGAGGGAGAGGGAGAGAGAGACCCTCAAGCAGACTCCCCACTGAGCACGGAGCCCGACTCCAGGCTCGATCCCAGGACCCTGAGATCATGACCTGGGCCAAAACCTAGAGTCAGTTGCTTAACTTAGCCACCTAGGTGCCCCAAGACACACTTTTTTTTTTTTTTTTTAACACCCAGGTGAATAGATTTGGGGCCTCGTTACACATCTCTTTAAAAGTCAGTGTTTTTTTTTTTAGCTGTCTTGAAAAGAGGCCCCTTCTTAGTTCCTTCAGGTAATACTGACTGCTGTATAAGTACATGTTTCCAAGAGCGGTCCCAGGGGTCAGATAAGGAAATGCAGCTGTGTCACAGTGTTGGTACCTTGGGTGGACTCTCCCCAGGGCCGGCGCAGAGAATTTGGATCAGGTGTTTAACCCGAAACCACACCTGCTCCTAGTCAAAATCTCACAAGGACCACCTTGTTGCTCTGAATTTAGCTAGTAATGGATTATTTGGACCAGGTTGTTCAAACTCTTTTCAGATGAGATGGGAACATTACAGGGTCCGAAAGAAACAATGCACCATTATGCCAGCGGGTGCCTTGCTGGAATGGGCTTTCTAAATTGAGTCTCAGCATATCACCCCACATCTCCCCCAGTCCAACCTGGTTTTAGTGTTGCAGGGGAAAAATCATCTTTGTTCTTTGTGTTGGTTGATTAATTTTAGGTTCACTGTTCTTATCCCATCTCTTGCTCATGTGGATACTTATGTAATACATTTCTGTATATCACATGGTCCTCCTCCTGAGGACCCAAATCAGGGGAGAAAAAAAAAAAGATAGCACAAAGTGCCTATCTGCATTCTCTGGCTGGAGGAATTGCAAGTTAAACAAAGGCCTTTGTCAGCTTAAAGCCACAGTGTCCTCTCCCAGCTTTTACTCTCTCTCTCTCTCTCTTTTTTTTAACAGGTTATTTTTATTTTATTTTATTTTATTTTATTTTATTTTTTGCTCTTTTATAAAGGAAAGGCTGTAAATCCTATCCCTGGGGCAGGTGGTCACAAAAACTCCCATTTTCTGAAGACTGACCTCTGGAAACTGGAGAAAATAAGGCCAGTAAGCCCCATCCTATGATTTTAGAGCCTGATCCAACCCCCTTTATTTTACAGGAAACAAAGCTGAGGTTCAGAGAGACCCGCGTAGTGATTAGGAACTTCTTAAAAAAAACTTCGTGCCCACATTGCATGTATGAGGGGACGTGCACACAACACGAGGCTGGTCACGGGCCTCCAGCTGGTTATGGGAGTTGCCAAATGAGGACCACGGGCAGCTTTCTGGTAGACCAGACGAGCCTCTAGCCAGGGCATGCTACCTAATGAGTAAAGATGCATTTGCTGAGCTCCTTTGGTGCCAGAGGGTTCTGCTGTGTTCTGAGGAGCTGGGGAGAAAATGGGGAGAAATATATGAACTTTAAGAAATTTCCCCCAGCCTTGACGAGCTTACAGTCTTCTGTGATCTGCTTACTGATAGGTGTTTCTAAACCAAGATAAAGACATATTACAAATACATATTACAAAATATTGAACCAAACAGTGTTATGTAGCCAATGGCTCAATTATGTAGTCCTAGAGAAATCTGGGAGGAAGAAAGAGGGTTGCTGGCTCCCAGAGGAGCGAGCCTAGTGTTTTCCCCCACTGGATGGTTAAAGCCACAATTCTCTTGTTTTTTCTGTGTATCCTCATGCTTATGGTGCAGAGAAGGATCTCAATTCATCCTTCCTGGATCAACGTGTGGTTCATTGGATAACATAATTATGGGGCTATTTCTGTACACCCATAATAGCCCCTTCTGTAAGAATGCTTTCTACTCACATGGGTCTTTTTTTTTTTCCAGTGGCCCACCCTCAGGACCCTCACCACCCATCGGAGAAGCCTGTTATTCACTGCCATAAATGTGGGGAGCCATGCAAGGGGGAAGTACTTCGGGTCCAGACCAAACATTTCCACATCAAATGTTTCACCTGCAAAGGTATGGTGCCTCCAGCTTCTTGGTCTCATGGCGTGTCAGTCTGTGCTCACCTCGGGGTCTGTCCCTTTAACCCCATGCCAGGCCACCAGGTGATAAGTGAATTTGGTGAGAGGCCTTGGCATCATTTCCCTTCTCTAGTTTGGGTGAGATTAGACTCAAGGGGGAGGCTGGTCCCCTGAAGACTAATGGTCCATAAGCCTTTCTGTGTTTATTGAAGGTCCTGATCCTGGGAGGAGTGAGAGCCCGTAAAAACCCACTTTTGTGTTTTGTGATTTATATTTATTTTCCCCCTGAAATAAGGGACTCTTATCCTAAAGTCACCTTGTCCCAAGAGCCATTATTTATAGAAGAGCTGGGAAGTTTATAATATTAGGGTTCGAAATCCCTGGGTCCTGTGGGGTGAGTGGGGGACACGTGTGTGCACGAACATGCGTGTGTGTGCATGTGTATTCAGAAGGGAGAATTAATCAACAATGCTTGGAAGGTCTCCAAGACGCTAACGAGTTGAGGTTGATTTCCATTAACAAGCCTCCCTTTTGGGGTTTGTAACTGTTGCCATCCTAGTATGAAATAGGCTGATCTGGTGTTCTGGCGCCAGGGCAGCGCTGAGTGGGGAAAGCCAGGGAGGAGAGAGTGTGGTTTTTGTGTGTGTGTGAGGAACAGGTTACTTGAGCTGGGGTCATGTGGGGAGCTCACACAGGGTTGAAGGATCCAGGAGGAGAGGTGGAAGGAGAGACATGATGATGAGCCTGCTTTGTAGCTCACTCTGCCCTCTGCGTGTGCTGGCTACTTTCATCCCCGGGAACTGCATTCCTTCTCAGTGCCTTAGTTTGTGAACTCAGCGTTGCCATTTTAAGCCATCCATTCCTGGCCAGGGAAGCTCTCAAGGAGACACCAGGCTACCTAGAGTCCATCAAATCCATAAAAACAGGAGGGGTGGGGGCTTCTGTGTTTGTTGCATTGAGGGTAAACTTTTCTGAGAAAGAGCATTAACATATGGCTCAGGTGAGAAGACAGAAGGGGAGGGGAGGACATCAGGTTAGCTCACACTGAGCTCCCGCTGAGAATGACAGAAGGCTGTGATGCACGTTTTATAGAGAGGGATTCCGTAGCTCTTCCCCAAACCCTGAGGAGTAAGTACCAAAAATCCCTTTTTTGGGCAATTCAGCTTGGCCATCAGGAAACATGAGGGTCTCATCAGGGTCCTGACTGTGCTGCCATTCTCTGTGGCTTGAGTCCTGCCCTTGCCACTAAGTTGCTCTGTGATTTCAGGCAAGTTACCTGTCTCTCGGTGGCCCCATGTCCTTATCTGAGCAATAAAGAGACTAGACCATGTGCTGCTCGAGTCATTTGGGTCTGAAGTTTGCCAATTGCATGTACACAGAACAGTGTATGTGTAAAATAGAGAAGCCAGACATACTGAATTAGAGCCTCTTAGCATGTAAGAGAAAACGACATTTTTGTTGTTGTTGTTGTTGTTACATCCAGATTGATTAATTTAGAATCAGGCATTACATTCCATTTTATTTTTTGCTTATAAATTTCCTACGTGGCTCAAGGGGTAGATTGGGTCTGCAGTAAATACAGTCCACGAGCAATAGGGGCCTTGCTTGTATTCTGTATTTCTTTTTTCTTTTTCTTTTTTTTTTTTAAAGATTTTATCTATTCATTTGACAGAGATCACAAGTAGGCAGAGAGGCAGGCAGATAGAAAGGAAGGGAAGCAGGCTCCCTCCCAGGGTGGGGCTCGATCACAGGACCCTGAGATCATGACCTGAGCCGAAGGCAGAGGCTTTAACCCACTGAGCCACCCAGGCGCCCCCTGTATTCTGTATTTCTAACTGAAAGTACAAAGTGCTAGTCTTGGATCTGGGTAGTTACTGTTCAGCACACTAAGGAATTAGAAGTTGTGTTTGTTTATCCCCCACAGGCAGAACCTTCCTTGCTATTTTTCTCTCCCAGTTTAAATTGAAGGACTGAATATAAATTATTTATGTTGGAACGCTTTCCCATAAACTTTGTTTCATGCTATGAATGTGTTCCTGAAAAGTCAAATGTTTGTATAAATTGAATCATATTTTAGGAGTGCTTGCTATTTGTAGGAACTATTTTGAATTTAACAAAACTTTACTAAAATAAATGTCTTCTATTCCTGTAAATTTTTATTTTCTCACACTTCATCTGTCAATATCTGTTATCTTATGTCCTCAATTCCTTTTCTTTAATATCCAAAGAAAGTGGCTTACATTCCTCATTCCTTAAACCCTGCCAAGCTCATTGCTTTCCTTCAAGATTCTAGAGTGATGTTGTCCAAATGGAAATATGGTGCAAACCACGTATGTAATTCTAAATTTTTTAATAGCTAGAGTGAAAAGATATAAAGGGGTGGGTGCAATTAATTTTATAATGTCTTTCATCTGTATATACCCCAAATATTATCATTTCAACATGTAATTCTTGTAAAAATTATTGAGATATTTGACATTTTTTTTCATACTCTCTTAATAGCACATCTCAGGTTGGACTGGTCACAGTTCAAGTATTCAAAAGCCCTTCGTAGGGGCGTAGGGGCGCCTGGGTGGCTCAGTCAGTTAAGTGTCTGACCCTTAATTTGGCTCAGGTCATGATCCCAGGGTCGTGAGATCAAGCACCACGTCAGGCTCTATGCTCATCAGGAAGTCTGCTTAACTTTCTCTCTCTCCCTCTCCCTCTGCTCCTACCCCTGCTTGCGTGCTCTCTCTCTCTCTCTCTAAAATAAATAAATAAATATTTTAAAAAAAAAAAAAAAAAAGCCCTCTGTAATTAGTGGCTCCGGTATGGGACAACACCGTTCTAGAGAGTCCTTGAGGTTTTTTTTTTTCTTTTAAAGAGTTTATTTATTAGAGAGAACATGAGTTGGGGGTGGAGGAAGAGGGAGAAGCAGTCTCCCTGCTGAACAAGGACCCTGATGCGGGGCTCGATTCCAGGACCCCGAGATGGTGAAGGCAGATGCTTAACTGACCAAGCCACCCAGGCGCCCCGAGAGTCCTTGAGGCTTGCATTCTCGTGGCCCGTCTCGCTCCACATTCTTTCCAGTGCCAAATTCTTGGCTTCTCTTTGTGAATGCTTCTCCTTGTGCATTGCTTCACCCCATTTATTTCTCCCAAATCTCGTGAACACAAGGCAGCTGTTCTCAGCAGATTCTACTGAAAGTTTGTGATAATGGAGGGAAGTTATAGCAGAGGCAATAACTGTCCTAATATTGTTGTCCGAAGAGGCAACAACTGTCCTAATATTTTCAGGCCATGACCAGAATAAGAAGCTTCTCATTGGCCAGGGTCATTTTTTCTTTCTTTCTTTTCAATAATAGGCTTTAATTTTTTGTGCAGTTTTAGGTTTACAGAAAAAGTGAACAGAAAGTACAGAGCTGGGCCATTTCTCATACGTATTCAGAACCTCCACCTGCCACCGTCTTCGTAGGTCTTCCTCTCTCTACAAAGACCCTTCTCCACTCTGTCCCCAGGACCTCAATTTCCTGCTCCCTTGCTGTCCTGACTCTAAATTTTCATAGAGTCTCTACTTTTTATGAATCCATTAGGATAGTTTCCCAGAGGACACAGAAGTTTTCTCCTTGAGGTGCTGTAGTCCTCTTAGCCCACAGGGCCCGGACTGCAGCTCAGTCTGAAAACAACACTTTTGTTTTCTGCTTGTTCCCTCTAAAGCACAGGCATTATGTCCAGATAGTGAGAGAATATCCTGGGAGACAGGATTTGGGGTGGAGAGCAATTGCTAGAACAAGCCTAGGCTTTGGGGCAAGAGCTGGCCAAGTACAGAGGAAGAACATTCAGGTTCTGACTCAGATTTCAGGGCCAGACAGAGTTTCTCCCTCAAATTCTCTCCCCTGCCTCCCTCCCTATCCTCCTTCACTCACACCTTGTTGCCAAAGCCTCACAGTTCTTGAGTGGAACCAGAGACTACTTCCCACAATTAAAAGGACATCCTAAAATCCAGACACCCAGGGGAATAAAAAGCAGAGATGAACTCTTTAACTAGGAATGGGTTTTGAAAGGAGAGGGAAAAAGAGGCCAGCAGACATCTTCCATGAGAACCTGACATGTATCAAGGTAGGAAAGGGTTGCTTTGTAGGAACCTAGGGTCAGAGTACAGACTTAAACCAGGGACCGGTCCCTGAGTCACAGGACCCAGGGGTGGTGAGCAGGAATTTCATTGGTGAACTCATCTCCCTAAAATGTCTGACATCTTGGGATTTGATGGTGTAGGGGTTATTTACCCAATTAGTAAATGTTAATTGGACACATACTCCTTGTGGGATATTATGCCAAGTTTGAAGAATAGGAAGAGACAGGATGCCATGTTTGTCCTCAAAGGACCCATAGGTTATTGGAGAGACATTTAAATAAACAACATTCGTGATCTTGAGTAATAAGCACAGCGATGGAGACGTCAAAAGGATGCTGACCGGAGGCAGGGGGACTCCTTGGGGAGATAGAAGCATCGTCCGGGTACAAATAATGGAAGGTCGCAGCAAGCATGATAGAGAATCAGAGGCAGATCTAAGAGCCATTTAAAGTTAAGGTTGATAGGATTTGGTGACCGTATGTGAGCAATGGAGAGGATGCAGGTTTCCAGTTGGCCTGTCTGTGTGGACAGATGGTTGCCACCCACTAAGGAAGAGCGAGAGCCCTGCATGGGGTCGTTCCAGGTGGAGAGTTCAGCTTGGGATACGTCGAGGCTGAAGACACATGGTGCATTTGGAATCCCATAGGCTTAACACTCAAGAGACGGATCCTGGTCTGTGTTGGGAAGAAGGGTGATTTTTAATTTTTTTTTTTTAAGATTTTATTTATTTGTCAGCGAGAGAGGGAGAGAGAGCGCGCACAGGCAGACAGAATGGCAGGCAGAGGCAGAGGGAGAAGCAGGCTCCCCGATGAGCAAGGAGTCCGATGTGGGACTCGATCCCAGGACGCTGGGATCATGACCTGAGCCGAAGGCAGCTGCTTA